AATCACGTCAGAAACATAAAATGCATTAAATTGTTCAAACTACAACAGAGCCCTCTTGCAAAATTTGATGCTTAGTGAGTTCCAGCTACATATCAATGGCTTTGTTTGCGATTTTAATATAATTCCTCAAAAGGAACGCTTCATTTTTACCGGTCCTCCGAGAGGTGCCAAGCTTCACAAGTTTTAAGATCTTTCCTAAATTTATCGTCCCTGATGACATGCCCCAAAATTTACGCGGGAAAATTGAGCCCATTGGGTTATGGAGTCATATTTAGAACTGCTGTGGAATGTTCCTCCAACCACACAAAACAAAATAAAATTTCTGTATTTAGCGAGAGTTTCGTCTCGATGCCTTTCCGACCCACATCTTCTTTTCGCATCCGGTTTACCGAAACGGCAATTGATTATAAGTCCTTCAGCCGACCATTTTCTAGTTTCAAACCAGTTCTGCATCGCAGGACTTAGAAGCCGTCCAACCACCGTGTTCAATGTCTTGCCAACCAGATCTCAAATAAAAACCGGAAGAACCGCAGATGATGGTGGGGTAAGTGGAGACAGAAATAAAAAATGATAGAATGGATCCATATTCGCTTGTCACCGGACCATAGCTTGTTAAATAACTAATTAAAGATTGACAGTGTATGCAGGTCTATGATGCAAAGTATTCCTTCCACGAAACGGGACTATGAAATCCACTGACCGTTATAAGAGACTGTAAACACAATCTGTCCCGTGATTTCAGAGCGCTCTCACAAAGGCGATTTTCAAATTTACAGGTGGTTAGATCATTTGCTTAGTATAGACTCGTCTGACTAAAATATTCGGCAAATCGGGTTCCCTCTTGAACCTCCCGTAGATGTGAATCAGTCGAACTAGTGGGGTGTAAGCCATATTAGGTGTACTATCTGTCCTTCGTGACAGTAGATTTTTTTTTCATGTGGTACGAAAAGTTTGAGTTTTTGTGTAGCACTTAGAGTTAAAGTAAGAGGATCAATTTTTTTAAATTTCTGACGTGAATGGCTGTTCGTCATAATTTGTTAGCCTGGGAGTTTACTTTAAACATCAAGGTAATATTTCGCTCCATTTTGAGGCTTTCGTGACAGTATGTCTGAAATATTTGGTACCGCGTTTGAGATAATCCTCAAGGTCATCGACTCAAGGTCTTAGGACTTTGCGCGTCATCCACATGAAACTATCTATCC